AGTTTACAACTGTGGCACCCGCTTTTGATAATGTTTGCAGAATCTGCACATCCACCAGGGTCGGGGGTACAAAGTGATCCTCCAGGTCTTGCAGGTGCTTTTCGCCTCTGCAGACATCAGATATATCTTGAAGATACTGGATAGATTTTACAGATCTCGACCTCCATGTCGAGAATTTATACCTGGAAGTGTTGCGCCCAGTGCCCCTGCATCCATCAACGAAAAACACTAGGTTAATTCCCTTTACTTTGAGAATTTTTATCAAGTCTACGAAGTACTGGTCGTAGACCGCATATTCGCCCCCTAAAATCCCAATAAATTGGTTTGATTGCTGCAGTGCAAGAACCTTGTGAATTGCTCCTACAACAAAAGCTCGGAAAGCGAGGTAATCCACAAGGATTTCAATTCCTTTTTTTTCACGGGCTATCTCAACCAAGTCCAAATACTGTGTAGTTTCAGAATGACCAAGGCAGTATGCCAATAGTCCGTGGACGCCCATTTTTCGAATGGATACCACACGCGTGTTTTCAAAGGAGTGCAGACAATCACGTGACAACTGACTTACACCGGTTACATCAGCCCAGAGCTGGTTTAGTGAACATTATTTCCTTTACTACTAGTTCAAGCCTCGTTTCCAAGGAGGCTTCTATCTACACTCACAGAAAGTGGCTGGAAACAGAGGCAACAGAAATCGGATTAAAAGATGTTCATACAATTCTGGTCAAGTTATATTCTGTTAAAACTGTCAGAACAAAATATTACATGGTGAAATTGCATTGCTTACCGGAGTACATCATGGAATGTCTGGGCTATATATATATTTCACGTAGTATTCTATAATTTTCCTAGCGAACACCTAAATGGCACCACACAAAACTGACTTAAACACGAGTTTTAGACGTTGGAGATGTTGTTTTATATCCCATGTTGGCCAGGTTGATCAAAAGGGGTCCGCCATATAGATAACCGTCCCAATAAAATATACTGATCCACTTAGTGATCTGACTTAATTACAACCTGATATTTATTATTTATAAATTTATTTATGTATTTATATATTTATTAGGTGTTCAAACAGGACATACATGTACGTTCGCGTCTACACGTCTATCACACTCTAAAGTTCGGGAACGCGTCGTAAACATGAAACAGAACACATTTTAAGTGTGCAAATATTACATTTTGAGAACGCTTTAAACAGTGTTCTGGCACCAGAGCACTGAGTGTTGTGAAATATAGAACACATTTTTATGTTCTTTTTTTGTTTTGTTTTGTTTTGTTAGAACACGTGCATTTACATGTAAATTCAGAACACTTTTTACGTGTTCGAATGTTACATTTTGAGAACGCATTAAACAGTGTTCTGACGCTAGAACAGTAAGCGTTGTGAAATATAGAACACATTTTTGTTCTTTTTATGTTCTTTCACTGAGTATTGTGTGAAAACGATCTAGTAGAATAATATATTGCTGAAAGGATTAATATGTGTACTGTCGTTTTAAAGAAGTGCATTTTATGTACTGAGTAGTATACCAACCATTTTGAGCAAAAGCATACCTGTAATGGATCTATCGGTATTTGGATCTCAAAATACGTGGATCTATAGGTATGTGGATTTAAAGGACGTGGGTTTATGAGGACGTCGTATCTATAGGAACGCAAATATATTGGACAGCAGTAAAAAATCGGATCTATCGGTATTTAAATCTAAAAAGACGTTTTTTCAGTTTTTCCTTTATGTAGGCCTATCTATCGGTAACGGGATTATAGGGACGTGTAATATCTTGGGACTAAATTTTATCCGCACGTACCCGATCAAAAAAAGTACTTTTCCATCAGCATACGACAGTTCCTCCCTCAAAAGTGAAGTCCGGCAATTGGTATTCAATTTCAAACATCCACAAGTGATGCAAGGATATAATGCCTAGGAGAAAACCTGGCGGTACTTCAGGTGCATTATCAAGTCATGGAACGGAATTGCAGCAACATTGTATATATGCAAATGCGTGAGTTCAAGATTTCTAGTTTAGAGCTCGGGATTTATGTTCCCGAATTGGATACTCCTGGTGAGATCACGGGTGTTGAAATGGTATCTGGTCTTTTTCTGTGTTTTTATAGAGTTAGGTTATATCAAAAAGAACATTGTTGCAATATACCCTTTTCAAAAGTTTTCAAAAAATTAATTGTGAAACTTGGACTAATAATACAATAATAAAAAGAATAATAATAATAATAATAATATGAATAATAATAATTATTCTGATTGGACAGTCATCTTTATGTTGTTTCCTTTACTCTGATTGACCAAAAACATAGATCACATCATAGGCTAATATCATGTTTGGTGCCAGAAATACGTAGATATTGCGTTTTATCAGACTCTGAATTTCTGTATTCCATGCTTATATATATATCATACATTACAAAATTATTAAAACATACAGAACAGAAAATAGAAAACAATATAATCTGTGAAGTTGCAGTACCTGAATTTATTCATTTTGTAGCGAAATAATGAAACAATTGTTTCTGTAATTATTAATGACTGGGGTAAATTATTGGCACAGAATACTACAATAAAACAGATTTTAATCATATGCACCTCTCCATGAAAACCAATGTCAATTTAATTATATCTATTCATTCAAGGAAGAAGCCTACATCTTAACCATATATTGCATCAGTTTATCCCAATCAAAGTCCACTGCAATCTTTTAATTTGATAAACATCCATATGAAACCTCTTTTTGTAAAATTAAAACTTGATTTTAACGAAAAATATTTGCCCTCAAAGTCTTATATATTAAACCTTTTATACGAGTAAACAAAGAAGTTTGCCCTGACAAGCCTTTATCAAAAATGGTAAATACCAAAGTGATGGCCCAAAAATAATCTAAATGCTGGATTGAAAGTTAAAAATACAAGGCATAGGTTAGATCTGTTGCAAAATGTGTCAGTATGAAATCCCTTAAAAAATGTTTCTCAGCAATTTAGATTAAAAAATAATAATAATTGTGATTGACAAAAAATTTTGACAACTTTTTATTTTCTTTTTTGTGAGCATGCTAGTATTTGCTAAAAATTCTGCCCGAAGGATAAAATAACATGCATATTGCAGTCTTTAGATGTGATTCAAAATGTTAAAATATACTGGCAGTTTATTATAATTATTGTTGTGACTGCTTTATGTAGTAAATCCAGATTTCAAATTTAGTCAGCTCAACATAGCAAGAAACCAATTAATATTTATATAATTCTTTTTCAAAACATGAAAACTAAAAAAAGCTACATAGTCCGGTCTGAATGTGGAGTATCAGCCTTTCATAATTACCCAATATTTATTTCTTTCTAAATATTTTGTCATCCATCCATCCTTGAATTTTAGATAGCTCTACCAAAAACTTCTTTAATCCTTAAATTGTTAGTGAACTTATTGTTGAAAATATATCAAACTCAGTAAATTATTTGAATATCTTCAAGCACCTGGTATCAAATAGTTTACAAAATCTACCAAATAACTGCTATTTCACTTGAAAAATCACCATGATCAACAGTAGGATAAAAAAGAACTGATGACCATGTATATACAACGTGAATCAATTCACATGTACATCCATGTACATGTGAATTGATTCACATGTACATCCATGTAGTTCCGATAACATCATTCTCAAGTTGATATCCATGTATAAACCACGATCAAGCAGCACCATTTGTAACTACAACCCTACAGACTAATGACAGCCAGTGCTTCATGTAAAAACCAGGGCAAGGAGGCCTGACAGCATATCTGGATTACATTTGAGTCACCTTTATCCAACTTGGTCTGGCTCACGTTATGAGAAAAAAAATGCAAAGTTCTACTAGCACCCCCTTTAGCTTAACTTTATCATCCAAACTAGTAAATCTTGAAAATTAAATCAAATAAAAAGTCTAAACGAGCAACTGGAACCCAATACTGGTTTCCCCTCAATTCAGCTTAATATTCAATAATGATGTGCTAGCTTGCTCGAATAGTTAAAAGATAATCAGATTCATTCCACTTGAGAACAGAGTTTGAACACAGACACCTACCTCAGTCATAGTTACTTGTACAAATTTAAATATTCTTGAGCTTCTTCCTCACATATACACCATACTATTATGCACCAGTAGTAATATCTTAATTAAATATAACATCATTTGGATTTATGGGTTAAAATGAGCATTTCCTTACAGATCCACAAATATCATATATAGATACTACTCATATAAATATACTAGTTTTCTTTTTCCACTGAAAAATGGTTTACATGCTTTAAAAGCAGATCATTTTAAATGATAAATTAAAATTAAATAAGAAGGCTAACTTATTTCTTTTAACTTTTAACATTAAACTTTTAACATTTTAATGTTGGAAAGGCAAATCCATTAAAATGTTGATTACTCTCTGGTTCCTAATTGCCGTACATTTACGGGTATTCATTTGGACAAAAAATTCCACACAGTCTGGCCTTATTCGAGACTGTACGCTTATTAAAAATCTGAGTTTCCCCAGACCTGTTCGTACACCACATACGTATATTGACCCATTTTAACACTCAAGCGAGATCCATCATGGCAGCACCCTGTGTTTACTCTGGATTGTGACAGCAGTGCATTTCAGGACATATACGCAATCACATCCAGTCACACTGTACTACTGTTCCAAATCGTATGGCAATTAGGAACTGAATTCTTCTAAATTCAACTGAACTGAAGCCTTTATGCTTACTATATTTCCCTCTCCTTTTGACCACCTACTTCATTTTTGTACCATGCTTTTAACAAAATGTTATCAGCTCAAACACTGCCCATTTCCTTTTGAACTCTCAGTACTGTCCTTAACAGCCGTGTAATTTAAAACATTTATCATCAGCTTAGGCTGATGGCATAAATATTCTGTAGAATGTATTTCACAAATTCTACATAATTTTGACTATCCCCTTTCTTATTTCTTTTCAAATCAAATTCTGCAACAGATTTACACAGTGACATTTCGACAGCTGCAATGATGGTAAACCTCCCATTAATTAAAACTGGCTCAGTGGAGTGCAAACATAAACTGGTACAACAGCTCACGCCCACCTGAAGGTGAACACAATGGGTGCATAACAGAGCTTAATATGCGGGGATGGGGATCTTTAAACTAACCTACCTGTACCTATCAACTATCATTTAGAAAAACCAATACTATGTTCCACATAAATTCCCTGGGTTGCTATTTAAGCATTGGTGATGAATAGTCTACACATTTTAGGCTGTGAATTCCCTTCCTAAATATTAGGTGTTTTAACTGAAACAATAACATGATAAAACCAACAGATATACAATTTTGGGAAATGAACGTAAATGTTGGCAACCCAGCACTTGTAGTATGAAACATGATTAATATATTTTTTGACCCCCTCAAAGATCACTCCCTGCTGTTATTTCTCAACATAGATTTGATGACTTTGATAAATTGATATGACCAGATGTCTTGGTTGTAACAGCAGGTTAAAGGCTGATGCCCTCTTCAAAGACCATGCTGAGAAAGAGTATCTTGTTCTGTGACTAGGAATTGGTTATTTTGAGCCCCATTCAAACCAGCTTCAAATAACTATTGTTGTGACTCTTAAACACATCATTTAATCACCAGGAACTCGATTGTCTGAGGCACAGCAATATCTCCATTTCAACCCATTCTCTGCACAGGGAGAGGCTAATACACATCCCGTATCTGTAAAATAGATTCCATTGTGTGACACATAGCAAATCACTTCAAACCAGTCTTATAAAAGGTTTTGACTGCAATACTAACACTATGTTAGCTGAGGTACTGTGTGTATTGCTAATGTCTATTTTGCTCCGCTGTTCTGTGCTGTATGCTTTGTTCTAAGGCCATAGGTGTCAACCATTCCTTTGGTATTGCTTTTTCTATGAATGGAATACAGGAGCTCACATAGGCCAGTCTGTTTACCCAGCTAGGGATGTCTTTACCACAGAGAATCTGAAAAAAAAAGAGAAATATTGTTCATGAAAATATATAATTGGTCACTCTTCAATATTCTTAAGATGCAGAAAATGTCAAAAGAACACTTTTACATAGCTAATTAGTTCAATAATGAGACTGTTAACATGCCTAAGAATTAAATTTTGAGAAAATCAGTTGACACTGCCCTGTGGCACTCATGCATAGCTCCTATTTGCTGCTGAAAATTTCTGATATTAGGTAAGGTAGTAGAAAACATCAAGAGATGGCAAGTAGCACTTTAACCCTAAAATCACTGAATAGATATGATATCATCAGCCAAATGACCATGCTTTTTCTGAATACCAATAATGTCCATGGACATTATATGAAAATATTATAATTATCAGTTTAATACATGATAGTAGTTTTTAACCTGATCTTGGCCAACAGGATATATTACCTTAACAACATAATCACCACCAATTTTAATCATATTACTAGACTGTTACTATGGATATACATAAACTCTAACAAGCAGAAGCTTTCAGACCCAAAAGTCCCAGCAAGAAAACGACGTTTGTG